TTCAGATAACTTGCAGAACTTTTCCTTTCTGGAACCTGCACTCAAAATGTGGACATCAGTAAGATTTCAGCACAAAACTTTCTGTGGAAATTCAGATAACAAGCTTCTCTAGTGAAGATGCCATACACACATGCACACGCACATGAGTGACAACAGATACTAGCAGGTTTGTCGACCGTGCCAGATCTTCCCAGCAGGGACGCACCGATCATTCTGCGGCATCCAGATAGCACCAGTGTGCAGTCAAAATACACAGCAGGCCGATACAAAGCTGTTGTTTTCCCACTTGGCTGCTCAGCGTTTTTATCGGGCTGTGCCGCCTGGGTGCCGCCCCAGGTATCTGTGTGGGGGCGGAGGCCAGTCAGATCTCCTTATAAACGTGACGTGTCTTTATGACAAAGAAATCTCTCTACCTAGATGTGGCGCATGACTGGTCATTTTAATTCATGTTGCCATTAAATAAGAATTTGAGACAGAATAAAGCTTGTAGTCACATGATTGTCACTACTGTGAACCCACTGCATGTGTTGGTGTTGTTTCATTTTTAATCAGGAGAGTAGACTCCCTTCCGAACCTTGCACTCCTTTGCTGCCTGTGGCTCTGATGCCCGCGCCTCTCCCGCCGTAAGACGCTCTGTAGGGCCGGACGCCGATGCCCGCGCCTCTCCCGCCGTAAGACGCTCTGTAGGGCCGGACGCCGATGCCCGTGCCTCTCCCGCCCTATGACACTTGGAAGATGCAGAAGCAATACCCGTCCCTCAAGTCTGAGTGATGCCAACATGCCCATCACTTGTTGTGCATGCAGGGGTCAGAGGTGATGCCGCATAACAAAGATGAATCTGTGTAATGATACAAAGAGGATCTGTTGCGATGCCCTTCCTGCCCCCCCCCCAGTCTCTGTCCCCACTGTGTCCCTTTAAAGAGGTGCATTGTGGGGCTTTCCCGGCCAGCTGGGTTACATCATCACCATGCCGGCCTGGGTGTTGATCTTCAGCCCGGGGCTGGTGCCGCTCATGCTTGGGGCCTGGAGCTCTTGGCCTAGAGCTCTTCGTAGCATGATTCCGCCTCTCTCATAAAAGAAAATACACTCTCGTTTATCTACCATTTTCTTTGAGCCAATAACATTCACCCTGAACTTAATCTGTTTCTTTTGGGATGCGTACAGTGCTTCCCCTAGATGTTTACTGCTCCAGGACAGTCGCTGACTGCTCAAATTAACAACACCAAGCAGGGCTCTCTGCATTCCTGGTGTGGTTTAATGTACGTTAGGAGTGACTTTGTCTGTTTCTTTGTTTGTGTCCTCTGGCATAATAAGCTCCTGACTTTGGATTACACTGAAGCAGAATGTGGGTCATGGGGCAGTAGGTTGAAGTGGACATCAGAGGATGACATGGCCTATGGGGGGGGTGGTTGCCATAGCGCATCATGGGTAAAAGCTGTGGAACCTGTGGAGTGACTCTTGAAGACATAGGGCAGGGTTCTTTAAATCTGGACCTCGATTCCAAATCCAGGCTTTGTTTTCAGTTCTCCCAGGTAGTTATTTTAATAATTACTGATTCTGATTGGTCAGAGGCTTCACACCTGACTGACAGGTAAAGGAAGGCTGGAAAACCAGCAGTGCTCGGACGTCAAGGACCGTGATTTGAATAACCATGACCTAGGGCTTGTGCACAGGGCCCATCAGGTGGTTCTGAGGTGCTGCTGTCATTGCTTTCTGTTTGGGAAGAGGAGCGGTTATGATGGACTTGGAGAGACACCCCCAGCTGACAGTTAAAATGTATAAAAATATATTTCCCCACCCATGTTTTCGGGGAATTTAAATACTTCTCGAACAAGTAAATTTTTGGTTGGGTGCCTGTGGGTTTGCTGATCTGGGATCAGGAGGGAAGGCCATCAAACAAGCCCTGGCCGATATTCAAGGCGGATATATTTCACAGTTACAAATGATTCAAGTGTCATTTCTGAAGATCCCAGAAAAAAATTGACACCTTCTGGGAAGGTGATGGGTACCTCTCCCAATCCGAGTGTAACTATAGCAACAGCCATCCATCTGCCGAGTCTCCTGAAGGCTCCGGCTGATCTACGGTTCCCGGTTTGTTCCCAGTCCCTGTCTGCACACTCCACACGCCACCCACGCGACCGCCCGTCTTGCGTGGGAAGCTGCGGGCGGCAAGGCCAGCTCCCCCTTTGAGACGCGTTTGGGTTGGACTGAAGCTGCTGCCAGGGTCTGAAGCTGAGCCAGATCCGTTAGCAGCCATAGCAAGGTCCGCCCCCAAACACCGGCTTTTTTATGCACTTCGCTATCGAGTGTGTTAATAAACTTGTTTCTGGGAAGTGCTCTACCCTACTGCATTTGCAGTGCATTGTGTCTGGTGATTGTTTGAAGGGTGTAATCAGGAGGTGGGCCTGGTCCTGGTGAGGTGAAGACCTGCCAGAGTATCCCTGCTTCCTGCCCTGTCTTTCCTGGGATAGGTACCTCACTCTGCGTGGGAGCTGGATTCTGCAGTGATGGATGGAGGTATGCGTGGAATATAAGACCTTTCTGTGGGCTGGCAAGGTCCCTTAGCAGTGTCATTGCCCTTATAAATTGGTGAATAACTCATTCCCCTAATGGCACCTGGATGCGGCCCAGGCTACCCCCCCCCCACATGCAGGAAAAGTGTTCTCCTGGGGTTTTTTTCTGTGATGCTGTGGCCACCGCATCCAAAAGCCCAGAAGTGGGCTTAGGTAGCCCTCTGAGGTCTCGATGTTAAGAGAGCAATGGTCGTGGCACTGTATTATTCAAAGCTTTTTACTTCTCAGTGGTCACTGCAAAGTCTCTGTGGTGTGGGCCCATGCGATGAGGAGGCCACGCCCACTTTTTACGAGTCTGTTGGGACTGGCAGCAGTGTGGAAGCAGAGCCTGTAGCCCAGGATAACCATCAGGTCTCGCCATCTGTAGGACTTCAGCAGGACTGCGATAGCAGCCTTTTCCCATAAGTCTGCTCCCTTTCCGTGATGCAGACCCGCCGCAGGCTACTTTAATTTTAATCCGCTCTGTAGAAACACAAGCCATTCTTTATTATTAGAGCTCTGAGTTTGCTGGCTTGCTGTATGTTAGGGTGATCAGTTTATCTGATGTAGACCAGTTTGTTTGCAGATTCTGCTGTGGCATCAGGAAGCTTGGAGCCTCCAAGACCTCTCAGAGGATCCTCACCATCTCCATAGAGAAGGGAAAAAAAAATCAGGTTCTTTGATTTGCAGCACTGAGATAGCATGACTGTTTAGGCAATCTTGACATGCATGTTTCTCTACACCAAACATAAGACAAAAGGGGCAGCCTTGAAACCATTATCATTAGCTGCCATCAATAAGACATTCACCATTCTTCTAGAATATCTCCTCACTTGCGTTCAGGGTTCCTGCCCACCTCTGCCCATCACCTTGCATCGCTGGTCCAGTCATTGCCCGGTCTGACGACACGTTTTGTGCTGTGGATGCGATTCCCGAGAACACACACTTTCACATGTTGCCAGTGCCCGAGTTGAACATGCTCCAAAAATGAATGAAGATAAGAAATCAGGCTCCCAGAATCCGCCCTGACACGTTCCTCCCCCTGGATATCTTCTAAAGTGCAGTCCTCAAACATTTTGTTTTTCAAAGGCTTACAGTCCCAGATTGTTTGTTTTTCCTGTCTGACTAAAGTTGTCTCTTTGGACCTGACAAATGTGGTTCAGAGGCACTTCGGGTGAGTTTAGGTAAACTTTGCAAAAAAAAAAAAAAAAAAACCCAGAATGCAGTGCCAATCTGGCAGTTTTTTTCTTTTTTTTAAAGCACATAGATGATATAGGTTGGCATCCTAGTTATTGTTTATGCTATGAAACGCTCTCACTGCCGTCAAACGCTGAACTGGAATCACGGTATGTCATATTCCAAGGTTCCCAATTTTTTCGTACTACGTTGCTTCTCCCCCAAACAGCTGTCTGGCACCTCCCACTGCCATCTCCTCGGGGTGGGGGTGGGGAGTGTGGTGGGGGGGCCTCATCGGGCCGTACTCGGCATGACAGGCTTGTTTGGCTTGGCAGCCACTTGTTTGTTGTCATGATGCTTTTTTTTGGGGGAGCTTGGCTTGGCCACAAAGCCCCTGTCAATGGGGCACATAAAGAGAATTGTGTTCCATTGTTAATGCAGTTTAAACTCGGGCGGGGTCAGGAGGAAAACAGAAAATGTGAAATTTGATTTTCATTTAATTTTTTTTTTAAAGAGGAATGGTTTGCTGGGTGTGTTTTCTAGCCAGCTGACAGCTACACTCGTTTTTTTTTTTTTCCTTTTTTCATCAGTCCATCCGTCTTCCTACTGCTTATCCTGGTCGGCGTTACTGGGAGCTGATGCCAGCACATCACAGAGCATGTACTTGCACACGCTGACACAAACAGTCACACACTCTGGGCAGTTTGGAGATGCTGGTGAGCTTCGCCACGTGTCTCTGGACTGTGGGAGGAGATGGGAGCCCCCTGAGGAAAACATGCAGACACGCAGGGAATGGAGGCCAGATTCAAACCGTGAAGGTTTCAGGCAGCAGTACAGCCCCCCGCCCCCCGCAGAGTAAAAAAGGCCGGGGGGGGGGACAACATCCCCTGTGGCTATACCATAACCCCCCCTCCAACTCTGAGTGCCCTTCAAAGCAGTCCGCCCTGTCCCCTGTGGGATTAGACAGTGACTTACAGTGATCTCTCTTTGCCATTTAGCCTTTATTTATAGCGTCTTTAAGCTTTTGTCTTTAACTGTGTCAGGCTGTGCTGGACTTTCTCTTACGGTCTGGCTCACAATGGTACTGTAAACCCCTAATTATAGGTGCCTGAGAACGGCTCTGCTCTCATCTGGCGGGCGGGTGAGTCAGAGGTGTCCGTGTCACAGAGACGGCGTGCAGCGGTCGGACTGCCAAAGGTCAAATTAGAAGTAAAAGTCCTGTAAACAGGCCTCTAGAAATGCCACTCACACCCACTGTCCTGCCCCCCCCAGGCATGGAAGAAAAGGTGGTTTGTTCTTCGAAGTGGCCGCCTCACGGGGGACCCCGATGTGCTGGAGTACTACAAGAATGACCACGCCAAGAAGCCCATCCGCGTCATCGACCTGAACCTGTGCGAGCAGGTGGATGCCGGGCTGACCTTCAACAAGAAGGACCTGGAAAACAGCTTCATCTTCGACATCAAGACCATCGACCGCATCTTCTATCTGGTGGCCGATACTGAGGACGAGATGAACAAGTGGGTTAGGCGCATCTGCGACATCTGCGGGTTCAACCCGACCGACGAAGGTGAGTGTGGGGGGCAGCCGCCGGGCCGGCGTGAGGGGTGGGGGGGCAGCCGCGGGGCAGGCGTGAGGGGTGGGGGGGCAGCCGCCGGGCAGGCGTGAGGGGTGGGGGGGCAGCCGCCGGGCAGGCGTGAGGGGTGGGGGGGCAGCCGCCGGGCAGGCGTGTGGCGTGGGGGGGCAGCCACGGGGCCGGCGTGTGGGGTGGGGGGCAGCCGCGGGGCCGGCGTGAGGGGTGGGGGGCAGCTGTGGGGCCGGCGCGCAGAGTTAACTGGTCACGTCTGTCCTATAAAAATGTCCTCTTTAATTTTTGCACATAAAAATATGCTACAGGGAAAGGATGCAGTGTGTATGATTTATAAGCAAGATACTTTTTACTGACACACTGGCTGAGCACTACATTTACAGCTGTGCTCATATCTGGCTTAAGCAGCATGCAGTGTTGCGTGTGGCACCCCAGGATATACACACCTGGATGATAACTGCATCTCAGGCACAATTTCTCTGAAATTACAGACGAGACCATCCCTGTTTTCTTGTGGGTTTTGCATTCGTCTCCCTCCCTGTAGCTCGCAAGCATGAGGCAGATCCTGGCCATGCAGTGGAGAGAGCTCTCCCAGAGCACATGCAGTGGAGAGAGCTCTCCCAGAGCACATGCAGTGGAGAGAGCTCTACCAGAGCACATGCAGTGGAGAGAGCTCTCCCAGAGCAGAGGCACTCAGACACTGAAAACAAGGGAAAGTCAGAAATCGAGGTCTTTTTTTAAACTGGGAAGGCAACTGGGTATCAGTTTGCATGCCTGCTCCCAGTCTGGCGGAAGGAAGCCTGCAGACGGCTGGTGACTATCTGCAAATTGTGCCTCAGAGATGCCTGGCTATTGGATTAATCCGGGAAATACCCAGTGATGAAGACGAAGCTTTCCCTAGTCCGCCTGAGGTTGTGATGCTCTGAACAGACCCCCTTGAGCGCTGTGACGCAGTCCTCATGCAGCTGGGCTCGTCAGCCATCGTCTCCCTGCGCAGATGTGACTCAGCGCTGAATAAGACGGGGTGGGCGGGCTGACCGACCCAGCGAACTGTGCGACCTTGAGAAGCGAGTGCCCTGAGAATGTGGCGAACGCTGGAGAGTCACCTCATGCCCGTGTCCTGTGTTGTGTGTCTGTGCAAGATTAGGTGGCTTTTCAAAAAAATAATAATAATAAACTTCCACTGGGTCATGGAGAGGCAGGCTTCAGCCACACGTCAGAACTGCCATATTACACAAAGAGCCTTGGCTTCTCGGTGGGGGGGGGTCAGGCTATAGGCACCCAGTTCACTCTTTGGAGGCGTCCTGAGAGGCACAGCGTCATCTTACGCACGTAGCCTTCAGCCGCCTATTTCAGATCTGCCGGTGGACAAAGGGTCCCTCAGCCCACTCCACGCCCCCACGGCCGCCTCACCTTATCTCCATGAAATGCCAAGCTGCTTCCGAAGCACCTGGGGGAATTTGCTCGTATCTCATCTGTGAAATTTCTCATGCATCTTGAACCCTTTTCGGCATCTTTCAGGGAATGTGTTTCTTTGCAGATGGTGCGAGTTTAACTGCGGGGACATAATTCCTTCCCAAGTGATGGATAGCAGGTTGACCTTCAATCGATATGTTGTGTTTGTCGAGACTGATACAGGTTCTCTTGGTATATGTATTGTTTCAGATCGATGTGCTGATACATTTCTGTGGCCCGTGCACGTTTTTTGTCCTCCATGTAGAGGAATGGGTCCTCCAGACGGTTACCAGATATGTTTTTTTTGGACGCCCAGCACAGAGCCCGAGGTCCTGTTACACATCAGCAGTGCTTTGGTCCCACCCTGCTGGCATAAACATCCACCCTACTGTTACTTGGCTAGTTTCAGGTCACATCCCACCTAAGCTCAGATGGAAAAAACTTTCCATATGAGCCTCTATGTAAAGCTTTCTCTCGGTTCCACAACTGAGTCAGTGTTCACTGGCTGTGACTCTTTGTGACAAAGTCTGAATGGATATGATGGTGGCTGATCACAGATAAGAAGGTGAGGAGGAGTCAAACCACGATGATGATTCACTTTTATATCCCTTCCATGCCCTGTAGATGGCACCAAACCCTCCCAGCCTGGAGGCCTGGGATTGGACCCTCTGCCTAATCCGGGTCTGTCAGCCACGGCGCCCTCCCCCATGAACAGTGTGCCACCCCCCTACCATCCAGTGAGCATCCGCCACCTAGAGTCCTCATCCAGCCTGGAGGAGGCTCCCGACTACCTGCTGCTGGTCAACTGTGAGAGCAAGAAGCCCACAGCGTCCAGGTGAGGCCTGGACAGGGCCTGCTTCTGCATGAGGATGCTGAGGCAGTGTGTGGGGAAAACAGGGAGCTGGGAACCAGATGACTCCTATACAGGAAGCAGTAGTTAGGAAAGAGACTGGAGTGCTTGAGGAGATGTTGCAAGGAGCTTGTTAATCTGCACAGTTCACTGTTCTTTGGCTTGCATAAATATTGTGACTGGGGTCTTGATTATTTGATTCTTTGATAGTCAAAGACATTATGTTGAAGACTCACTTCTATTGAGTCTCTGTTCTCCTCTCCCCATGTTCTTCCTCATGTTTGGTTCCCTCAAATGCAGGCTCCAGGGCTCCTCCAGGTCTACCTCTTCCGAGACGGACTGCAACGATAACCTCCCCTTGCACAGGCCCCTAGCATCGTCCTTCCCCAAACAGCCATCTTCCAATGGCTTCTTCCCCCAGCCCAGCTTCTACGACTCGCCGCCGGCCCGCGGGTCCTCCGTGACAGCGGACACCGCCTCGTACTGTCTGCCCCGCAGCTACTCGCAGGACACGGTGCTGCAGCCACGGCCAGCATATTCCATGCCTGGGCAGGACACGGACTCCCCCGCAGGCGAGCTGCATGTCCTCGGGGCGCCACCTCGCAAGACGTCAGTGGAGAGCCAGCTACGGCACATCTCCATCAGTTACGACGTCCCGTCCGCGTCCAGCTCTGCCCGTCAGGCCCACGGGGCGTTCTCCGGCCAGGTGGACGTCCCCCCTCCACGCCCCCCCAAGCCCTCGCTAGCCACCGCCTCAGAGCGCTCCCCCACGGACACGTGCTACATGCCGCGCTCGGTGTCAGAGAGTGACGGTAACTACTGCGTCCCGACCAGCACAGGGGCCAAGGCGCCGCGTAGTAACACCATTGGCACCATGGACCTTTCAGGCCTCCGGAAAGGTCAGTACCTATTTCCTCCCTGGGTTTGCAGTTCCAGAACATTCTCCAGGAGGCCTGCATGCCCCTGAGGACCCATTTGAATCCATGCGTGGTTCGGGCGTGTGTCAGGGAGATTCAGACCTAGCTCCTTCAGACATTGTTTACTGTTACGCCATGTTACTTTGAAAAGTAACTTGAGAGGTTATATACAGTTTGCTAAATTTCAGTTCAAGTTTCAGTTCAGATACAGTTGGCTGCATTTCAGGAAAATTATTTATTTGGTTATTTTGGATCCTTTGAGGGATGTCTGAATCCATTTGTGTGCTCCATTTCTCCAGCTGAAACATTTTAACAGTTGTGCTATCCTCATTTCATGATGAGCTTTCAGTGATAACAAAATGTCCGTCTGCTGCTGGTTACTGATGGTTCTGTTAGCCTGAAGAAGCATGAATGGTCTTATTAAAGATTTCCTTCCTATGTTTCAGAAGAGATCCACAAGATTGCCATTTTTAATATACCTTCTCCACCAAATTTGACCAAAATTCAAGCCTATTTCAGCATCTCATTTTTTGTTGAGTTATTATTTTGAGATTTTGAGGTTAAGTGATGCATGACGTATGGGTCGGGACCAATGTGAGAGGTGGCCAAGGAGGAAAAAGGTTGTCCTAACTCATAATTATTCAGAGGCATGTTTTGGCCATGACAAGCAATAAACCAATCAGAATGGTGCGTCACCGCACCTTTAAAGGCAGCATGATCTAATGCGGATTGCTATTACAATGGCACGTTTGCCCAGCAAGCCAGATTTCGGCCGAGGAAGCGGATGTGCTCTTACGCGACGTAAAAATGCACAAGCACATAATTTACGGGAGCAGCACTGTTCCACTGAAGCCTTTCGAGGTGAAGCAGGCGTGGGATGAGGCAGCAGCGAGTGTTTCCTCCTTTTCTGGCATCACCAGATCATCTGCTCAGTGCTGAAAGCCGTATAATGATGTCAGAAGGCGGGGAAAGCAGAAGCTCGCTGCTGAACGAGAGCAGCGGCTGGGAGGGGACTAATTATGCTTGTTTTTTTTATTTTAATTTTGGGCCTGCAGTTCACATAATATAAATAAAAGTGCTGTGTTTTTCAGACAAAGTACAACCTACAGTTTTTAAGGTGTTTGAGCATGTTCAAATAAAAGGCAACAGGGCTGTTATTTTCTACCCTCACAATTTAGATTCCTTACCAGGCTATAGACGATTCAGCTCTTCTGCCAGCTGACCCCCCCTTGCCCGCGCTGCAGCTGGCATGCATTCCTTTGTTGGCATCGGCACATGCCATTCAGTATTACACCTTCTGAAGTCCTCTAATGTGTCCTCATTTATGTCCAACAGACATCCATCACGCATGGCAATGTTACACAATGCCACATGCCACAAAGAATGCTGCGACTTTCTGAGGGTTGTATTGTAATGTTCCACCTGACTTATCTAAATGTCAGAAATGCATTTTCAGTAATCGAAATGTCCTTTCAATTACAGTACATGCTTAATTCTGATAATGAACGATTTTTTTTAATGATACGGTTTGTTCTTTACCTAATATATAGTTTTTCTTTTGGCATTTCATTAAACAGTATGATTACGTGAAAGGACCAGATGCACTCTATAATAAAATGTACATAAATAAAACAAAATAAAAAACCATTAGTGCACCTCAAGGGTGTAACCTGTGTTTGTAACGAGCGCCGTGCACTTGCACGTTTCTAAAGCGCGTCACTTAAATACCGTTTAACAATGCGGCACATACTGTTTACGTGGTTTTTGCTGGTCAGAAGCCAATGTCATTTTGCTGCCTTAAAACATAAACGTGCTGACAATGCGCCCGGCCGCGCCTCATTAAAAATACCCAATCTTGTGAACGGAAAGCGGGCGCAAAATCATTTGCTATTTTGACGACACGCACGCATGGTGTAAAAACGAGCGATTCGCTGATATGAAACTAGCAAAACCACTTTGCGTCGCACTTTGTGCAGGTGGAAAATGGAGCCCACGGTGTTTGACTGGGAAGTAAAACTGTCACCTTAACTGGAACATAATGAGATCGTAGCTGAACTAAAGCAGAAATGTAATCTCATGAAGTTTCAATCCAATGGACAAAGCATAGCTCTCCACTTCCTTACACCCTCTACCCTGAAAAACTCTGGACACTTTAATTTGCTGTTTTTCCGACGAGCTGCAAAAAGTGCTCCCCATTACTGGGAAGCTTGCAGAAAAGGTCTCATCTCCTAATTGCGCTGATTGCTGATATCCCATCACGCCGAGGGTTGTCAGTTGCTGCTGTGATTGGCTGGTTATCGGTACCAAACATTGCAAGCATCATGGTAGCTGTTTCCTAATCACCGCCACCCCGATTACAATGTGATTTTAACCTGTGTGCAGCTTTTTTTTGATGGATCAAAGAGTGCAGAAGGTTACAGTCAGACGATGGTATTCTGTATTCCTATGACTGTTGTGGAATTTCTCTGCCCTGCAGATTTCGGATCTCAGGACTGCTACGACGTCCCGCGCCCTGTCAGCACAGACAGAAGCAGCTCATTTGAGTTCAATGATAATTTCGGCAACTATTTAGTAAGTCGACACTGGCAATGCCGTCAAATCACGTGGCTTTTCCAAGTCCGCTGACCGTCTGATGACAAATCAGAGCTATTCGATGTGTCAAGTCGCACCTCCAATCCTAGCTTAGTGAAACCAGAAGCCATCATAATCAATTAATCCAGCTGTTAAATATAAACATGGCAGATGGAAAGCTTGATGTAGGCAGATTTCAGAAGGCTTGCGCTTTCCAATTGTCTCATGATTAGCCAGGCCCACGAACATTCAGAGTTTAGTGGAAATGCACCCTGGGAAAAATTATTAACTGACGAACAGGTGACTGGAATCCTCTAAAATGTTATGATTTTTTTTCAGGGATTGGGAGTTAGTGACTTTGTGGGATGTGTAACAGAGCACTGTACTTACCCATCCACAGAGAAACAAGGGCATGATTCCGGTGGGACCCACGGCTGGATCCACCGAAGAGATGGATGAGAATTACGTGCAGATGAGCAACTCGCCACGCCACGGGCGATCGGGGAGTCTGTCCGAAGGGACGCAGGAGCCCAACTACGTGCCCATGACACCCGGAAGCGTGGAGTTCTCCTCGCTGGGCAAGCAGGTCCCCCCGCCAGCACACATGGGATTCCGCTACAGCCCCAAGACCCCACCGCGGAGGGCCGCCCCCGTCGGCGAATGCCAGCCTCCTCCCATTGACCGCAACCTCAAACCTGACCGCAAAGGTAAGTCTGCTTGGAAGGTGTGTGCACACACGTGCATGTGTGAACAGGTAGCGGTGCGTGCGTGTGTGAGTGAGTGAGTGAGTGCACGTTTTTGGGATGTAATTCAGACTGATGTATATACTGTATGTATATATACACTAAACGTACCTGCCCATGTTTATAAAATGATCCTACAGTTACCTATACATACACGCATTCACACAAGCATATTAGCATCTGTCTGGAATCTTTATCTTTTCCCAGTACGACTCCCACTTCGAGCATATTTGTTCCCTGTTTGGCACCTTTGACAAACATCCTGAGGTCGTTTTGACACGTGGCCCTTTCTGTGCGTGACAGCATGTGACCTCCCTGTACAAGGGGACTTTTGTACACGGCCTCTCTGGTCCTGTGGGCTGGCTGGACACGTCCCCGCGCCACCAGTGACCGGGGTCTGGGGCGGTCACCTCTGTCCCCTCTGTCACCCGCTTGAAAGAGTCTTTTGAGAGCACACTGCAAGTCACGCTGGATGTTTCTGCCTAACAGGGGAATTTCCACACAAAAACTAAAAACAACTCCAAGGTACTGAGATGAGAACACAGGGCAGAGGGAGGGAGGATTGTGTAAAGTATACGGCCATGTCTTCCCCCCCCCCCAATGTTACTGCAATGGACACATATTATTCTGGGTTTTTAAATTAAAATTATGGTAATATTCCTCATTCACCTGGATTTGTGCTCTCGTGTAAGATTTTTTCATGCCAGATCAATTCATAAACCTGGGCAGGTACAAATGGGCTACTGGTGTCTGTCCTGTAATGCCCATATTATGGGCTACAGCTGCTGCACGGCGACCTCAGGGCAGCTTGCACTGGCTGTCCTGTCCGCCATCTTGCCACTCAGGATGTGGGTGTGGCCTGCACTGGCTTCGTTTGGATGTTTGTCTGCAGTGGCACTGGCTGCCGCCTGACCGAGGACAAGCTGTCATGAATCGTCCCGTCTCATCCTGCTGCTCCATAAATATTTGTTGAAGCACTTCGTGTCTGAGACCCAACAGCAGGTGGCGCTTCGCCCTGCTGTTCTCTGAGGGCTGCTTGGCTTCTGCTGCTGTCTCTGGGCCGGGACTGCCGTGGTGCGGTGCTGGGTGTGGCTCAGTCTGTCCTGCCACAGAGCGTGTCCATGCTGTGCTGCATCGTTTCACAGCCTGTTCTTTGGTGTGCCATGCAGTCAGGAGCCTTGGCGAGGTTCCCTGTCGCATGGGTCAAGCCGCATGCCGCACGCTTTGTGTTCTGTCTGTGTGGGGTCGGGTGGGGGGGGGGGGGGTATAGGACACTATGCTGTGTTTTCCCCCGCCCACAAACACTGTAACAACATCTTCTCTCGCCAATCAGGTCAGAGTCCTAAAATATTAAGAGCTAAACCATTTGGTTTAGAGCGAACTGATTCACAAACCGTAGGCGAATTCCGAAGACGACTGAAGGGTACGTACTCCTCAGAGGTCCTCGATTTACCTTGCAGGGGTTAGGCAGCCTAACACTCCCAAGACACTCTACCTTTGCCCTCTGGGAGTCTGTTTCTTTACCTGCAATCTCCTGCGCCCAGTGTATCTGCTGTGTAATGTGATGGCAGTCTTCGGGCTTCATTTATTGTAAGTTTATATCCTGTTTTAAGTGAAGGTTCTGCATCTTTAAGGCTGGAACAGACCACGGTGTCCCTCTCCACCCAGGAATCAGATCATACCTGATGTACCTGCAGCTGATTTCTCCCAGTTAGCAAACTAACTCCACTTCTGAACTTACAAATGTGTCAGCAGCGACCTGGAAGCCCAGGTTTCATGTTGATGTACTTCGGGGCTCTTAAAGGTGCCTCTGAATGAACCTATGAACCTACCTGTGACGTTGGCTCTGATTTATGTACGGCTGTGACGTGCTCGGGAAGCATTCGTCTTCCAAGACATTTTGAGTGCAAAGTCGCAGTGCTACAAACATTTAATCACGACTTACCTCCTCAGCAGAGGGTCTCATGTGAAAACAGGCATTCACGTAGCTGTAATATATTTTTGTTAATATGATAAACCAAAATGAAACCAGATGGATGGACTAAATCTCGGTGAGTTCTTGGGGATCTCATGGCTCTGGTGGACCCATTTTTCTGATTGTGGTGTTTGGTCTCAGAGGGCTTATGATTAGGGTCATGATGCATTTTTGTTCAGTTCTCTGAGGTGGGAGGCTGATCTAATGGACCTTCACACTCAGAGCTGCACGCTGGCATGATTCGCCAGTTTATTGTGAGTGAGCAGTGCCTTCTCAATACTTTCCTACATCCCATAATGTCTTCTGGATGGCCCAAGTTAGAGGCCACAAGTGGGATTGCTGAGGTATGGACATGTACACCGTTTGGTCTTGGAGAGTGTCAAAAGTACACGGCACTGAATTTATTATTTATCCGTGTTGGAGGCCAAAGATGGATGTTTGACTGTCCGTCTTGTCAGTATTTTGGAATCATTTTGAGAAGCCTCATCCTGGCCTGTTGTTAGACTCTCCTAGTGACCTGCCTAGAATGTCCTCCACTGTTCGTCAAAGCAGGGGGCAGCGGTGAGCGAGATGAGGGCTTCAGCTGTTTTTATAAACGTTTGGATGTGATGTCTCCTGGCCTTTTAAACTCTATATCAGTGGTAATCATTAAACAGATTGATTACTCTAAGGTAATTCCTTGGTGTCATTTTCCTGGCATAACCTTAAGGTGAGAACATTGTTCCATTTATTGTGTCCTAAGTCAGCAAGGCAAAGCCGTTAGGCTGCTGAATGCGGACAATGGATGCCCATGTTATCAGGGCTGTTAGGGATAGGTTCTGTGCTCAGGTGAGCAGGAAGTTTAGCCTGATCTGTTAATCCCGGCACAGTGCAAGGTGCCCTGATGAGGGGACACCCATCTGTGTCGGGTGTAGCCATGTAGTGTAGGCGGTGTGCGTCCCTAGTCAATCCGCTGCGGATGGTGTTTCCTCGCCAGGTGGGGGACAGCGCGAGTTTTGCATGCTGTCGTTACCGGACTTCTGTAAGCGGCAGCTGCAAAATGACGTCCCGCAGGCATGAGATGGAGATGGAGAAGGTGGCCAAGCTCTGCATCGCTTTCTATCGAGTTACTGATGCTCACCTCCCCCTCCGTGGGGCTGACCTGGTCGTCGTGTCCCAGCCACTGGATGAGGGGGCTCAGGTTACAGGGGGAGGGGGGGGGCTCTCCTTCCAGCAGACATACACGTCTGCTTGCTGTATTGTTTTGCTTTTCCCCTCTTGCTTTCACAGCATTTCACCCCCAAGAGTGAGAAAGTCAGGGCTTTAAAGGTCCACACAGCGCTCTTCAGTCATACGCCCGCTCTGACCGTGTGCACTGTCTGTCACAGCAGAACGCATGCAAAGCTGATTTGTAGTAATGGAACCCATCGCTTCCCATCCCCCCCAGTTAAACCAGCCCCTCTGGAGATCAAGCCCCTGCCGGAGTGGGAAGAGCTGCCGGCCCCTGTGCGTTCCCCAGTGACCCGCTCCTTTGCTCGGGAGTAAGTATCCTGTGCCTGTCCTCATCTGCGGCACATACGGCCTCCCTCATGGCTTTGTCGTCATGGCGTCCTCGAGGACGGGCTAGCCGCAGCTACACACCGACAATAACAACAATTAACAGACTGCCATTAACGTAACTCACTGTAAAGTAGCCATCTCAGAAGAGGAACACTGTTTCAGGGAAAGTTTCTCCAAACGTGATGATATTGCGTGCAGGACACTCCTGTGTAAATAACACTCCTTCAGTAACAGGAAGTGTCGTCCATCGTGTGCGCTCTGTTTTCTTCTGTGCTGAGAGATTTTGTGTTCTTCACTGCCCTCTGTTGGCAGGACCTCGGTATTGCGTGTATTTGTCCATGTGCTTAAACATTGTCCTTATAATCAGTCACCCCAGGTTCCCTATGCCTCCGAGACCTGAATCAGTACAAAGCATCACCTCCAGCACCGACTCCGATGACTACGATGAGAATTACGTGGCCATGACCACCTCCAACACAACAGCAGATGAATCAGTACGTAAACCCTGTTCCGTGTCTCTGTGAGTCTCTTGGAACTTTTTCTCTTCCAACAGGTTCTTCCTGTTGGTCCCTTCTGTGTCCTTTATGGGCTCTAATTCTTTTCTGTGGCAGCATCTGTGCAGTTTGTACTTGAACAGCCTAAGGTTCATTTTTCCTCGTGGAAAGTTAAGTAGAGCTTCTCACTGCGGCCAGGGAAGCTGTTATTAATTCTGGAGATTAATCCAGCAGCACACTCACCATGTCCACGGGTCAAGAGGAAACTGGGATATTACCAGTGGGAATAAACATTTGATCTTCAAGCTTGAGAGAAAATGAGAATATGGGACAGCAAAGATTTATAGTTTGTTTTTAGCAGGTTTTATCTGAACTGCATGTACCCGTTGTCGTGCAAAGTCTGACTGAATGTCAGGCACCAGTGCTGAGGTGACAGTCGCTGCAGGTTGACCAGACAGAACAATGCGGCAGTTGTTTATTCTAACCCTTCTTTACTGTGCAAGAACTGTGTGTGTATGTGTGTGGTTGTGAAATTAAATACATTTATACTGCAGTATAGATATTATCAAACGACACTACATCCAGAGATTAAATGTCTCAGTAAAACAAAAAATTTACACATAACTGTAATAACGTCAGTGGCAAAACCGGAATATTCCTTGCATTACTAATACTGGCCTCAAGAGGGCCGAATCGCCAAAGGGGTCCGGACCTCAAATAATTAATACCTTAAACACTAAAATGAACTGAAGGTTTTGTCAAATAGGCAATAAATTCCATTCATATTGATAAACTTTTTTACAGGGGGCTTTATATAACATGTTAGCAAAAGCTGAACATAATACTTATAACTGTGTGTCTCTGTATGTATGTGTGTGTGTGTGTGTTTACTAGGTGTAAATATATAATTAATTTAAAAGAGAGACAGGCAGACAGAAAAAGAGCATGAGCATATTGAAGCATATTACGATTAAGGTACGGACACGTTTCCATCGCACGTAATTATGTAAATGTATAAATTTAACTTACCGTTGGCTGTTCGCACGCTGCCTCACAAGGGCTGCCAGCCCTCACACGTCTGGCATGACACGCTTTCAGGCGCTCACGCAATAAATCTTACGGCAAAGCTATATTCCCTTTTAAACCTAAAATTAGCTACATTAAAAGCACTGGGGTAGTTTGCAAATCCTATTTACAAGGTAATAAAACTCTTACATACGTGTAAATGGGTGTACAGGTGTGCGCAGATTCTCACAGTCACGCCAGCCAGTTGACTGAAGATGGTGACACTGCAAGACAAGATTATTACAAACTGCACATTGACCCCAGTAACAAGCTGAATAGACTTAAATCTTATGCTGAACTTTCAAGGGCCAAAACTGGCAGGCATAAATGAACACAACCGCTGACTGACGGCAGGGTTAACCAATAACATGCCGAATAACAGCGAATCCGGGTGGGTAGCCTAGCAGAACAACTAATATGAATTATGTTGTAATCAATACAACAGAAGTAGAATATTCACTCTACAGCCCTTTTTAACACCTGTCTGTGAAAGTATTTGTTTATTTTTTACAGTGTTTCATGTTTAGCTCTTTACTCAGATGAACCACAGCTGCTCCTAGGACTTAATCCAGTGACCTTCTGGTTACATGGTATGATGGTCAAACCCCTTTACGCCACAAGGTTCTGAATGTTCAGTGCCAGTGTGTTAAAGTTTAAACCTGAACCGCCTGGGGTGTGGCACCGATCCAGGTCGGCTAACATGCTGGGGCTTAACTGGTTCCTGATTGCTCAGTTATCCCACTGGGTTCATATCTGGGAGATGTCTAGAATCTCTAAATTTAATGACAGATGGCGGTGCCCCTGCATACCTTATGGTGACCTCTCATACTAGCCCCTTGCCCAGCATCTCATCTCTGTCTCCACCCAGCCACCTTGGATGTCCTGAATCTCTCTCTCTCTCCTTTCTTTTGCTTGGAGAGATAGCAGTGCTCCTCCAGCTTTCAAGGAGGCTGATCTCCTTCTTCAGCTTCTCCCGCTTTGTCACCCGTTTTCTTTCTGTCTCTCTATAATTACACCCCGAAGCACGGCAGTAATGTCAGTTGTCCAGGACTCGCTTTTCCCTGCCTTCCTCTCTAAATTTTGCCCATTTTTTTCCTGGAAAAATGTTAAAGATTCCAGGATTTTGTCTGTGCTATTTCAGGTTTTTCTCTTTTAATACATTAGGAATGTACAGTAAGGTTTTTCTCGCACTATGACATTTCTATAAAAGCACACACATCACATAAATGGAGAAAGCTGTTATCTCTTAATTTCCCTCCATTACCTTCACACGAGCTTTCATGCAAAGTGTCAGTTATGACATCCCTTCACATCGGGCGGCCAGCAGACCACTCTGGATGTCCGTTAATGCTGACAGCTAACGCTTCTTACCACGCCCCGCCCCTTTCAGCTCGCCTCTTCCTCGCAGAGCCTGAAGGTCGGTGCTCAGATGAACGCAGATGGGGGTGGCAGCCCGATGGTGAAGCCTAAAAGGGACAGACAGGTGGAATATCTCGACCTGGACTTGGACCCAGGAAAATCAACTCCGCCGCGAAAGGTATGTCAGGAGTTTGCCCAAAAAGATTACTTTTGAAGGAGGTGATCCTATGCAGTGCTAGAATGGGGTACAGGAGACCATCTGCGGTGTCTGAAGCATCTGCATCTCCTGTGACTTGCAGAAGACGAGTAACGGCACTGGAAGCGCGGCCTCTGATGAGCGGGTGGACTACGTGGTGGTGGACCAGCAGAGGACGCAAGCACTGAAGAATACCAAAGAAGCCTGGAACGGAGGGAGGCAGTCCACAGACACTGACACTCCACCGAAGGGACCAAAGTGAGCCATGGAGCGGCATCTTTGTGGATTACTGATCACCAGGAGGCTCCAGGAGGTCCATCTGCATGCACAGAACTTATTGTGAGGCACTCTGGAGTCAACAAGGTCTCCTACTCTGCTTGGTTATCTGAGGCTTGTTGTGAAGCTTCTGCAGTAAGTCCAGAGCAGGACCGGTGGAAACCCCTGTGCTCTCCTTATGGTGTCCTTATGCTCTCGAGCATTTCTGCAGCAGACTGGGTATCGTAGTCCTGTTCTGTATCTTTCAAAAGACTCGATATGGACCAAGCAATTCAGTCAGGCTGCCTTGCGTGTCTTCTAAAAAACATCTTTACTCACTCTCACTTCCTTCTGTAATTGTGTTAAAGCTGTTAAAATGTTCCACAGTGTCATCTCAAAAATGGAAATCAATATTTAGAATTTTCACATTCATTTATCATCATCTAATTTTTTTTCCAGTTCAAGTCTAAAAGTGCAATCAGATGTTCTCGAAAATGAAATATGTAGGCTTGAAATGACAACTTTCTTTCCCACGCTAACTCTGTGACTTTTGTGCAAAGCAGAATGCAAATAACGTGGTTAAAAAGTACGAATGTGCGCGAGGCGTGTGGGCTGCACATGTGCCGAATGCAGTGTGTGACGGCTCAGCTATGGAGTTTGCTTGTGAATTCCCATTCCTGGCAGGACGGCGCTATCAGGCTAATTATCAGGCTAATTATCAGGCTAATTAATCCATCTAGAAAATGGTGGAATCAACAACTGTGACTACCTTCAAACAGTAGGTTTGTAAGCTTTCTCCTACTTATGCAATGTTTCAAAGAAGAAAATCAGGTACTCAATCAATTTCTAATTTCCGCAGAAACAAGCTTCTGCAGCCCTCTTCCTACAGGTAGAACGACCTTTCCAATATCAAACACGCCCTTGCTTAAAAAGCAACTTTGCTGTAAAAGATACCTTCCAAACAAGAGCTAAATGTTTTCTAATTTTTTTACTGGGATTTTTTTTTTATGATTTTCAATTCCCCCTTTTATATTCTGCCACAGTTTCACTTGGACTGTAATTTATTTTACCAACAGAATTCCAGTTTTTTCTGGAATCTTACAGACTGCCTTACTAAGCTCAATGTCTTCTGTAAATATGATCAATGCTGCCTTTTAGGATTGCCCTCTCTGACCTTTTTAAGTATTTGTGAATTTTACTCTTCAAAAGTATTTTAGCTTTACTAACCTGGCCATTATGACTTGAGGCATGATGTATGTCTGCTTTCACAGGTTGGTATTGTATTCACTGGCCCTCTTCTACAGCATGTCCAGAGCAGTGCCTTGATGTTTTTTAGCCTTTCTTCCCCCTCAGACTATTCCTCTGTCAGAAAATTCTTTTTTGAAAGACAACTAAAAAAATCAACACTAAAATTTGTTTGGAAACATGTACATTTTAAAGTGTGCGAAATAAAAGCAGATCGTTATGCATTATTTCTATTTCAGCACCTTCACTGTGTTTGTGACAGCATATACAAAAACGGACTCTGGGTTTTACAATGTATATTTCTGTTTTTAATCAAAGGACATAACTCTCTTCTTGGTAAAACTTTAATAATAATAAATAATAATAATACATTTTATTTATAACGCACTTTTCATTAACAAAATCTCAAAGTGCCACATTTAAAAACAACAAAGTTAAAAATATCCATAAAATCAAAATAATATCACTACTACTAAGTATGACATCTTAGCAGTTGTATGCTTTCTTAAATAAAAAAGTCTTCAAATTTGCTTTAAAAAAATCCAGGTTCTTTGTAACTCGCAGCTGGACAGGAAGATGGTTCCATAGCTGTGGGGCAACAGAGCAAAAAGCTCGACCTCCCATAGTACACAGCTTAGTAGAGGGAACTTGAAGTAGCATACTACCTGATGATCTGAGGATGCGGTTGGAGGTTTGCAAACTCATCAAATCCTGGAGATATGAAGGTGCCAGACCATAAATACATTTATGGGTTAATAGAAGAATTTTATACTCGATCCGGGAAGACACAGGGAGCCAATGAAGAGATTTGAGGATGGGAGTAATATGTTCAAATTTCTTTACTCTCAGTAGGATTCTTGCAGCGCTGTTTTGGATGTATTGTAACTTTTGTATGTCCTTAGCAGGAATCCTACTAAACAGTCCATTACAGTAATCCAGCCTTGATGAAATAAAGGCGTGGACAAGTTTCTCTGCATCTGCGAGGGTTAAAAGAGGGCGGAGTTTGGAGATTTTTTGTAGATGGTAAAATGATGTCTTACACAGATGTTTTATGTGGTCGCTGAAGGTCAACTGTGGATCAAACCGTACCCCCAGATTAGTAACTGAGGAGGAGAAAGTAATAGCCTGGCCATCAAAGGAAAACTGGAGTATAGGAAATGAACTTATCTGGCGTGGGGTGCCAACAAGGAGTCCCTCAGTTTTACTGCTATTCAGCTGTAGAAAATTAATGTTCATCCAAGCCTTAATTTCCTCCAGACATGCAGTGAGGTTCAGGATGGCTTCTGAGGGGTTTGGGGCAGTTTTAATGTATAGCTGCGTGTCATCAGCATAAAAATGAAAGGACAGCCCATGTCTGGTTATGACGTGCCCAAGAGGTAGCATATAGATGGTAAAAAGCATAGGACCAAGAACTGACCCCTGTGGAACACCACATGTGACATTGGACAGTCTAGATGTACATCCTCCCAACATGACTTGTTCAGTCCTTCCAGACAGGTAGGATTGGAACCACTGCAACGCAATTCCCGAGAGTCCAACTGTATTATGAAGGCGATCCAGGAGAATGGCATGGTCCACTGTATCAAACGCCGCTGACAGATCCAGGAGAATAAGCAAGGATGGTGAACCTGCATCAGCTGCCATCAGCAAATCATTCGTCACCCTAATCAGTGCCGTTTCCGTGCTATGGGCTGAACGAAAGCCTGATTGGAACTTCTCAAACAGATTATTACATTTAAGATAGCTCTGTAGTTGGATTGCAACTATCTTTTCTAAAACCTTAGACAAAAAAGTCAGGTTTGAGATGGGCCTGTAATTTGCAAGTACCTCTGGATCTAATGAAGGTTTCTTCAGCATCGGGCGAATGACAGCCGCTTTGAGGGAGGGTGGAACATTACCAGTTTGTAATGAAAGATTTACTAACTTCGTAATGATTGGACTGACAATAGGGATGAAGGACATGGGCACAAATTATACTTGACAGGGCACAAATTATATAGCATTATGCCATTACTTATGTACTAACTAACCACGAAGTAAGCCTTAGTTACATACTGAACTTATGTTAATTCATCATTAATGAATCGTGACGCTTGTTTTATCTCAAGCAGTTACTATATTTGTTACTATACCTGATAAACCTTTGTAAACTACTGAAGGAAGTAATGAACAACACAAGTTAAATACTGATCTCATGTTTGTTCATTAATGAATTGTGACGCATCTTCTCAAGTAGCGACTATATTTGTTCATGATTTGTACTTCAGCAGTAACTGAGTTATTTCTAAGTATTTGTGCCCCATCAAGTAAGTATTTTAATGGCAAGGAAAACAATCTCCAGAATATTTTCTTTCTCTTCTGCGAAGGATGAAGCAAAATTCTAGGCACTAACCAGATGGTGTGAAAGAGTGGGATTGGGTCTCTTACCTGGGTGTTAACAGTTTTGTACTGAGTTAGGCAAGTTCCCGCAATTGACTGTTTTTAATACACATGAATCTTAGTTGATGAAAGCTGATACAGCATTAATATAGATGTTAATGCCAATTCTAAGTATTTCATAGACTGAGCAAATCTGAACTTTGCGGTGGTTTATGGAAAGAAACCTCATCCTGTCTTCCTCAATGCTGAAAATAACACCAACTAGGCCTAACCTGTGTGTAAATACCATTCAATTTGAGACAGACTAACACCTTAAATAGGAGCTGAGGATATTTACTGTCCAAATAAGCACTTGGGCTGAGGATGAATCAAAACTTAAGGCTTCGAGCCGTCCTACAGATCGGCTTTATTCTAAGTGAGCCACTAAGGAAAAACGTATAACAGGGCTGGAAACTCATGTATCTGGCGTGACGTTCACTCTTTCAGACTCTCACGCTCACACAAGAACTCTTACAGCAAATGTGTATTGTTCCATACACCTAAAATTAGCTACATCAAAAGCACTGGTGTAGTTTGCAAACCCTGCAGACTATTTACAAGGCAATTAAACAGTTACATACATGTATATGCGTGTACTGGTGTGTGCAGACTGTCTCAAATTGAAAATCTCACGCCAGTCAGCTAACCGAAGTTGGCCGCCCTGAAAATAAGGTGTTATTTTCTACTTGAGGAAATGCTTTTGGCTTTTTTGGTAACAGAGCCCTAAGCACCTCAGTTCCTTTAATGATTCCATGCTTGCCCGGTGATCAATTTATTTTTCCACTGGTAATAATAGGATCGCGAGACGAGCCGAATGGTAAGATAGCTGAGCTTCGGTTATCATCAGTGCGTCGATATAACATGCATATGTTAGTGCAGAAAGGACAGCTGGACAACACAATTCAGTGACATTAAATATAGCGACTGACTAACTGTGAAGCGATGGTTTCAGATGATATGCAAACATTCACAGCTTGACAGGATAATGGAAGCGCACTGTAGCTGAGCAATCCTGACCAATCTGGGGGCGATTTAAGTTTACACTTGGACTTTGGGTTAATATAAATACGATCTCGCCAGCATGTGGACATGACACACTAATGCTTCGACAAGACACAGAAATTAAAGAGATTATTCCGTTTGTTATGCCCACAAGAGCGCGACAGTTACACAGTGGAAAAATAAACATTAATAAATATATGTATGAGATATTCAGTTATTAACTTATGCAACCTGTATTTATAATGCACGTCGATATATATATTTACCTGATGCTTTCATCCAAAACGACTTACAACACAGGGAAGGGTTATGTGTTCCCTGATATTAAAACCCATCTTTGTGTTATTAGCGCAATGCACTACTTGTTGAGATACATGAGTAGCTTTCTTTACGTAGATAAATACAATAATAATTATATTATTATTCTTAGCGTGTGGCAGTAAAGCAGGAGAAAGCGGGGTTTTACTAAAAGTAAAGGCCCCGGTTTATCTGGTAAAATTAAAGTCACAGCGTTCAGCGCGCAAACATGACAGCAGGGAGCAGCCAGGTACGGCGCGCGCTGTCTGCGGGCGCAGCGCGGCTCCTCCGCCCCAGCGCCGCTGGCCGCCGAAATCTCGCGATATCTAGCCGGACGAGATCTCAGCGTGCGAGAGAAAAAAGCCGGTTTGCTAAGGTAGGCGGCGTGGTGCAAGTCCTGTCCCATAAAGGGACTGCAAATAAGCGGCGGCTGTCCGTCTGTGTCGGCGGTCACCTCTGTGCTTCTTCCGGACTTTTTGAGAAAGTAACGGCATAAAGCGGCAGGTGCAGTCGCAGGCCGGGATTTAAATCGCTGACCGGAGGATGTCCGAGGGGGAAAAGAGCGGCTTTGAGCCGGAGCAGCGCCTGGAGGCTGAGCTCAAGGAGGAGGAGGTGAGCAGAACAATGGGACTCTATTATGGATGGAGGTGCGGCGTTGCTGGGGATGGGGATGAGTGCAGCGCTGGCGCACGGCGGCCACCGGCCGGACCGGCGCTGTAATTTAATTCATATTTAATGTCCTCCCAGAGCAAAGCGTGGCCAATTTCGCACTTTGAAACTTCCCAGTTGTGTTCCCGGTGCCTTTTCCCACGCCTCGCTTTGGGTCCTCGCTGGATGCTGCGGGTGTCCCGGGGGGGCGGGGAGGCGGGGAGGCGGGGGGACGGTGTCTCCGGTCGTGCTGCCGTTTTGTCCAACTGAACTCTTTGTCTCCGGCACCTATCAGACTTTCGCTAGTAGCCTCTTCTACCGGCGCAAGTGACCGTGTAGGACGCCCAGGAGAGGATAAATGCAAATATAAGCAGAATTGTTTTCTTTAGTAAAATATCTCGACTGTCCCAATTCATAGTGGCTTTTATAAACAGTCCATGAGCCGTATTATGTCCCGATCGGGCCACGGCTGTCCCTGCCTGGATCCGGTGTGCGCTGGCCGGTCCGGTCTGTAATGACTCCCTGACTGCGCTGTTCAATGAAATGAGTGCTAATAACTCGCCATTGCTGTCTTTATAGTAAAATATGTGTTTCTTTCTTGAATAAATGTTTATTCATCCTTGACACTTATTTGTCCATTTATCTCATAAATATTCCACCGTGCATCTTGAGATCGCGATCAGTCTAAACCGTCAGGTTATGGTAGTTTTTCCAGTATTTAAAGTCTCGTTACTGGGAGTTGCGCGGCGTGTTGCATTCACTTCCACACATCGTAGTAGCCGCATTGTGCTTTCATTGTGTCGTTAAGAAGTATCCGAGAAGCGTGACAAGTGCGCCCCTACCCGAGCAGCTGCGAAGCCCG